TCTTCAAGAAGGCCCCCACGACCTCCAGCCTACCGATAGGGGTCCTTTTGGCATCCCTTCTCAATGCACGTCTCCCAAGATTCTCGAGGCACCCCTCCCAGGGGCCGAAAACTACAATGCCCCCGTTACCCCTAGCCCCAGGGCCTCTCTACGCATTCCCTCCACTAAACCTAGTCACGCAGTCATTCTAGGTCTACTCCACAAAAAAAAAAAAAAAAAGCAGAACTGCTTTGGGTGGCCCTCTTCTGGCCAGGTGCCCATGATTGCGGTCCTCCGCAACCTATTGGTGGCTCCTCTCGGGAAAATCCCTCCGAGTGGGACCTCCCCTCCTCAAGGGGCCCCCCTACATCCGGATCCCCTGCGGCTCCCCTAGCCGTCGGCAGGTTGGAGTCGCCCGGGAAGCGAGAATCTCTCTGACCAGGTTAGTGATACCATCTTAGCTGCCAGTCGGTCATTAACTACCTGAACCTACGATACCACTCGGAATTCCTTCCGCACGTGGGGGCATAAGTCCCAAGTCAGCCTCTTTCATCCTCCGTCGCTAGATCTTATTTGTCACAGGCTCTGCCAGGACCATCGGAATATCAGCACATCTCACCAAGGTGAGGCCTCTTCGGCAGTTTGGGCCACCAAGGGCCCAGTCATTGGCATTTGCCAGGTCATCACCTGGGCCTACTCGTCTCCCTTCAGAAGACCTTACAGGTTTGGCACATTGCCTCGGCGGGGGCCTAGTTGGGCAGACGAGTCCTATAGCAGGTCCTCAGGACACGGAGAGGCTCATGAACCAGACGGGGCCCCTCCCGTAGGACAGCCAAGCTTTGGTATGTCCCACTCTCTGGATGATCCGAGCAGCTCTAAGGAGAATGGGCGTTGGTTCTTACCTGACACGCCATTTCTCTTTGAGCTGCGAGGATCATCCAGCCCCACCCTATTCTTTCACCGTCTGGTGGGGTCTTGTTTCGGCCAATGAACCTTAAGTCTAGTAAGATGAGAGTATGAATTTCTCTTTTCTCTCGCTTTCGCAAAAACTGGGGAACGCCGGCAACGGAGCCACGTGATGGAAGGCGGAGCGTTCCTCAGTAATTAAGCTCAGCCTACAACGACGCAGACTGAAGCACCTCCCACTCTCTGGATGATCCTCGCAGCTCGAAGAGAAATGGCGTGGCAGGTAAGAACCAACGCCCATTTCCTCTTGTAACATGTCTTAAAATGGCTCAGATAATTCAGAACTTGTTAATTTAGCTATGGTTACTGAAGAAACTCCAAGCAGCTGAATTCCCACAATACATTAGCCTAGTGTAGGCGAATTTTTTTGGCACGTTGCATGAAGACTGAGTTACAACTTTTTTGAATGATACTCTAGTCTAGATTTAAAAACAAGTTGGAATAAGGCATATGCTACCCTGAGAATATTCTGGGGCAGGAAGGGCTTTTTCCAGAACACGGAATTCAACCCTTATAGAAAATTGTAACTTGAGTGACTGCAGCTGGAAACATGTTTTTCTTTTACTAAGCTCAATGAATTTTGAAAAAGAATTACTGATAGAAATACACAACCTTGAACTTCACCCTTGTTAACTTGCCAAGTTAATCAAAACCAAATCAAAGTTGTTAAACATCAAACCTGCTGATGTCAAAGCTATTGAATTATTTTTCATACTTTTGAATGGTTTTGCATCAGCTGAAAATACAGAAATATTCTTATCTTATAAGTGACTATTGCAAAAGACACACAATTTTTACCTATCACTGATCTCCAGTCATGGTCTATTGTGACAAGGAAGAGCAGATATAGTTATCAATGTCTTCTGGGACTGCCAATTCTTAAATTCCAATGTTGTTTCCAATCCAACTCCCAAATAGGAAAAACAGCTTTTTCTAAGGACAGCTGCTAGGAAAAAACAAAAAAACCTTCCAACCTGATGCTCTCCCTGATTGTATTTGCATGGCACATAGAACCAGTGAATTGTGTTTTATTTAAATGAACCACCTCATGGTTCTGCTACATCATAATAAGTTTATCATTACTTTAACAAACATGCATTCAGAAAGTGGGAGCAATATTCCATTAATTGTCTGATTTTTAACTTCTAAACTTATTCTAGCTTTATCTGTCATATCAAGTAATTTTTTTGTCTTTTATATATATTTTTTTACATTCAGCTAAAGGAAGGAATAGGGTTTAGGCACATACTACTATACCTATACAGACATATTGATGATTGGAAATCTTGTTAGATCTTGATTTCAGGTTCCGATATCCCAGTATTGATGAACGTATAAAATCTATTGTTTCTTCAGCAAAACGTGCAAGTTGAAAATGGGGATCAATAGCCACAAAAATCAACTCTCAGACTGAACATGCAGAGAACTGTGAAAGAAGTGATAATGATGCAAATACCATTTGCACACTATGTTGAACTTTGCCATACACCTACCTGTTGCATGTGCAGATTGTTCCCTACTGAAGAACATATTCTCCTGTTTACCTACCAAAATGATCATATCTACAGTAGAAAGTGAAAACCACTTTCCATATCTGGCTGGCAGACGGGGGCCATATTGTAGCAGTAGGAAATTGTCCCTTAAATCTGCAATACAAATACCCATATTACTTTTGATGAACATGGCTATTCGATGTGAATCACAGGGTAATCAGGAGAGCTATTAGTGGCACTCCATGATGTATAAAGGAAACTTTGCTAGCACCCCTGTAAGAATACCTGAGGATCCACCAACTTAAAAAACAAAAAACAAAAACAGCAATGCCATGGAATTATACTATGTTCTATATACTGTACCGATACCATAAACTAGCCAAACTCATTTCAGTCTGGTAAACTGTCTGAAACGAATCCTGAATTATTAGTTTGGTGCCACGTCCATGTCTACTAATAAAAAATTAGCATTTCTGTGAAGTTCATCATCCCTTCCTATGCAATACTGCTTTTAGATGTATGAATAATTATTTTTGTTGTTTTTCTTCCTCAGAACAGAACCTTTCAACCAGCATCTTTCCTATCCCGCCCCCCACCCCCATTCTGAAGTGGTACAATCCATTATGCCACGTTAGATCTTTGCCACTTTACCTTTGAAAGCCAGTCGAGCTGTTGATCCTAAGGCACATCATCAGAGAGTGGATCTGCTAGTACCAAAAATATGGTTTCTTTTTTCTTATTTAAATGGATAGCATCTAAGGTAATGTATTTTTATAAGAGAATGTTGTTTAACCAAGGAGGTGAGATGCAGTCTTGAACACTGAATATTGAATTCATTGGGTGAGGTCCAAATTTTCATGTGTTCCCCATTTATGATCTTAACAATACTGACTTCAAATAACTTGACTAGGGATTAGTTCTTGAATCTCACGTAGAGTCAACTACAGGATCCAAAACTTTTGTCCAAACAGTAAGAGCAGAGTAATGCCACTGTACCACAAGTTCTGCTCTTTTTGTAGGTATATGTGATGTCACAACACTTCTGTAAAAGGAGTGGAGCTTGAAGTGCACTATTGCTGTTGTCATTTGCCTCTGGTTGATCACTGCCTCTTGGAGGGCACAGGTATGGGAAAGGCTACCTTAGGATATGCCACCACTTACATTTATTTCAAGATAAATATGTCCATATTCTAACAGCATCTTCTGCCACGTCATCTCATCCCCAGCTCCAGTGATCAAAGTTTAAGTTATTTTGGTATCAGACTATTCTCTTTAGCTTCACAGCATCCATCTACAGTTAATAAAATCCATAACATCCTCTGCTCTTCCACTGAAGGGAAGTCTAAAGACTGGAAAAACTGGAAAGATAATGGGGGACAAATAAATTATGCTGGCAACCGAAGAATAGGTAATAGGAACCCTTTGGGTTCAGCAGTGGGGAAGGGTCTTTCTATTTTGTTTTTATGCAGGCAATCCATTTTATGGTATTTGGGAGCTGGTCACAGTGAAGTGAACCTTGCAGCAAGATGGGTCGCAAATTTATTTAATTAAATAAATGTATGTGATGGCATTTTGAGTGGGTGGGAAATTTTGAGGTGAAAATTTTTAAATGCTGTTTTATGATTAAATACTGTTTTCTATATATTTAATAATTTACATGATGGCATTACATGAATGGATTGGAAATTTTCTGCTTCCTGCTTTTAAAATAGCAAGCACTAGAAATCAGATCTGGCCTGCAAAGTTCCATGGATTAGTCATAAATATCAGAAAATATTTGATCGGTTTCCTGATCAATTAGCTGATTGGTGGCATTGATCAATACTGTAGCTAAATCCCTCTTTGGTCTATCCTACTGCTTAGCTGAAGGGAAAAACCATAGTAAGAATTTTTGAGATGATCTCAGTAAATCAGAAGAAAATTAGGAGCTTAAAACTGTTTTTTGCATTAGTTTCTATACTCCACTCTATTTAGGGAAACTTCTACCTTAAGAGAGCAAAATAATTGAACTGTCTGACCCTGACAAAAACAGAGCAGAGGAAAAGTTGGGGAATTAAATTTTCAGGCATTCCTCTTTTCCACTTCTCATGGTTACTCAGAAAAAAAGTACCCCGTTATTCATCTGAGTGCAGAATATTGCAGCCACTGGAAAGATGCAAGACTTCTTGTTGCCTGTCCCAGTCTCTTGACAGTTCCAGTCACGGGTACTCGCTATTTTTCAGGGCCGTTTTAGGCGCCTTTTGGAAACGGGATAGGGAGTTAAGGTGAGCGCTGGATATCACTTCTTCACCCCGCGGCTGCTCCTTCCAGGATCCCCCTTGAAAGAACAAAACACAATGTTTAAGCTCCTCCTCTTTTCGCCTTTCCCGCTGAAAAAGACTTCCAGGAAGCAGCGTTTTATTTATTCAATTCCCTCCTCCTCCTCCTCCTCCTGTGGCGCCTCGGTCGGTCGTCAGTAGGCGGGCTCCGCGCGCGGCCGCCAGCCGTACACTCTCACTCTCTCGCACGCCCGGTCGGCCCCGAAGAAGGCGGGTCGCGGGGACCCGGCTCCTCCTCGCGGGCGGCGGGATTAGCTCATCTCGGCGGCGGAGACAGAACAGCAGCAGCGGCGTTAGCGGCTCGTCCGCGGCAGCTTCGACTCTCTCCCTGCTGGGTTCGGCTCAGGCGGAGGGGCGCGGAGAGCTCGCTCGTCCTTCTCGTCCCCCCCACCCCACCCCAGTCTGGGTGTTTGTCTCCGGCCGGCTCTATGGCTGTGTGCAATGGAGAAGCCAAGGTCAGTGCCGCGCCGGCGGAAGGGACGGCAAGATGATAGGGGAGAAGGCAAGCAGGCAGGCGGGCGGGCGCAGGGAGGAGGGGAAAAAATCCAGCCTCGCAGCGAAGCGCGCGGTGCCTTCCCCGGCCTGCCACCTTCCTCTGGGAGCTTTGTGCGTGGGAGAAGAGGCGGGAGCCGGTGGCAAGGGCAGACCTGCCTCCCCCCACGCCTCCCCTCGTCCCCGGGCTTCGTCTTCAACAGCAGCAGGCTTTCTTTTCGCGCATACCCCCCCCCCCCCCCCCCCCCTCCCCAGCAACGGCATTTCCTTTTGGCCCTTCTCTCTCTCTCTCCCCCCCCGCTTCTCGGCGGGAGGAGGCTTCATGCCGGGCACATGGGAAAGAGGGCGGAGGGATGAGGAAGGAGAGGCACGAAGAAGGGTGACTGGCACTTGGCTCTCCCTCCCCCCAAATCTCGGCACCGGGGAGAAAAAGGAGGAAAGCGCCCGGCCTCGAAGTCTGCCGCTCGGTGGTGGTCTCTTTCCCCTTCCCCTTCGGGCACATTCCCGCTGCCACCCGCGTGGCCCGTGGCTGCTCCAGACACGCCTGGCAGCCTCGTGGCTCTTCTCCCCTTTTGCGCGTGGCTGGAGAGAAAGAGAAAAGGCGGGGAGAGTAAGAGACATGGGGCGATAAGTCTCACTTTTGAGTCGTTGCTGCTACTTCAGACGCCAACTGTTTGTTATGGGTTTCCCCGCCCCCCGCCTTTTTAGAGCCTTATTTCCCCCCTCAGCTGAAGTTATAAGTTAGTTCGTCCTCGTATCCACAAACTAAGCTAGTAAGTTGTTCTTTTCAAAATAATGCTGGCATGAAGTTCTCAGGTTTTGGGCACATCCAGGAAAGCATGGCGCTTGTCAGTTTTCCTCACACCTCTTAAGCTTTCGTTAATTGAAGTAATCAAGGGATCGGCCTGAACTCTTCCCCGCACACACATTATGTTTATATGCATACTTGGTCTCCGAAGCGTAGTTTTCTTAGTTCAAGGTTTTCACGTTAAAAAAAGAAAATGTTTTGGCATTGGGTATCTTTGCTACAGCAGTTGCATCGTTGCTTGTTTTGATGTAGCTTAATGCTGATTCCTAAAATAAGGTAAACTTAAAACGTATTTCAATGAAAAGAAAAACTTTTTAACAGTTGGATTTTTAACAGTTTAGTATATCACAGATCTCTCTATCTTCCCAAACACTGCTATTTCCAGAGTTTCCAAAATCTGTTATGTCTGAGCACCATTAGATCAGAACCTCCTCATAAGAACTTTTTATGACAAAGTAGGAGGGGAGGCTAGTTTCATTTTTAATGTGGGCCAATGTGCTCATGGTAAGAAAAAATGACAATAAAGTCATCTATAAAAGTTAACTCTTGTGTTAATGATATTTGATATTTAGTCACAAAAGCATTAGAGTATCAGAATGAATAATGGTGAATAAAATAGTAAGCTACATCTTTTTTTTAATGCATCTTATTTAGAATGAATTCTGAGGCTCCAGTGTTCTTTGGAGTGTATTTTTGAAGTTAAATATATTTTTCTGGCTCTTGATACAAATAATATTTGCAACTAGAATTAGATGTTTCCCTCTAAACCCTACAGTTATAAAAATGTGGTGTGTTTTTTTTGCTACATACAGACTAGTGAATTTAAAATTGTAACTGGGAATATGGCTGTGTCAAAAAGAAGAGTCATTCTAGTGTTAAGATCAGTGTCTCTTTAAAAAAATCTCTTACGGAGCTGACAACATAAATGTTTTATATGTATTTTCTTGGCTCTTTATGGAAAACAAACTTGATGTAAGAATTTCAGATGATGGCAGGAATAATTCTCAAGCCACAACATTGGTATTGAGAGCGACTGTAATGGGAAGACACTTGTCTTAGTGTCACTTATTCCTTTTAAGAGTCTTATTTATTTAAGCACCTTGCCAGTATTATAGAGTTCTGTATTCACCACAGAATTTCATTTTAGTCTTGGATGGTCATTTTGCAAAAAGAAAAGAGAAGCTTTATTGTAGTTTAGCTTCTCTGATCTTCTTAAAAGCAATAAGTGTGTTTGTGTAACACATCTTTTTGATAAGTGTTATGTCAGGCAATTGTTTTGTTTTCTTACCAGTTTCCAAGAGGCACATTCTTAAAAGACACTTTCCCAAATACTGTATTTGTCAATATCATTTCAGTATATAAGTTTGTGGAGGATGGCAAACAAATGAAAATCAGCTACATTTTCTTTGCTTCCTTTGATTCCACACAGCTAACACATCCAGTAAAAATATGAAGCTAATTCTTAGTAGTTCAGTTCTTAGTTGTTTTTATTGAGCTGTTTTATTGGTAAATTTCCTACATTCTTCTCCTCCTAGGTATATTCCCTACATCTACTACAAGGGAGCTTTAAATCACTTTTGGTATGCATTTTGAGATTAGGTTTAGCTCTATGTTTTACTCGTCTTTTTTGGAGGACGTAGTGTCTTTCCTGCTTTTTGCAGAATTTTTTTTTTCCAGACCACAAAGTTATTTTTTTAATCTAAGTACACGTTCACTTACTTGTAGCCTGATCTTTAGGAAAGTTAAATGGTCCTTAGTAAATGTATTATTTATTTATTCCATTTATTCCATAAATTTCAGATTAACTCTGGCTTAAACTAATAATAATAATAATGTATAGTATAACCAAAAATACCAGAACAGCAGTTTAATATATTAGAGGATAAAAACCATATTCCTGGACCACAATTTTAGTTAATATTGTTAGGCTTCAAATGCCCTTCAGAACAGATCCATCTCCAAGCCCTTCCTGAAGGAAAGAATCATTATATGGATTTAATAAAGGTTTGAGAATAGATACTTCCTAAACTCTGAAAAGGAAGCTCTACTATAAGGTGGGGACCATGGGAAAACGCTGTGTCTAAGCCAGGGGTCTCCAACCTTTTGGACCTTAGGGACCACCAAATTCATAATTTTAAATCCTGTGGACCATTAATATGAATCCAGAATGCCGCTCACTGAAGCGCCTGGACTCCCACTGACAGGATGGGGTCCTTCAGGCACTTAGCTTGGCTGCCTGTTTCTGCAACCTTAAATATTGAAAGAGTCATTTGGACCCGTTTATCATAGAAAACAAAACACCGGGATCTCCCCCCCCCCCCCGTGTCTAGCTCTGTCTCTTCCCCTCCCCCGCCCCAGGGTGGGGGGAAAGGAACCTCTAAACTGGTGCTGGGTAGTGGGAATCTGATATCTGAAGGCCAACGAGCTATGTGCTGATGACCAGATGGCTGGCGGGAAGGTGGGACAATCCTGCAGTGTCCCTAGCAAACCCATGTTGTGGCTGCTGCCTCCGGCCTCCTGCCTCCACGCATCAAGGAGGCCGAGCAGCAGCAGGAAGAACACAGATCTCCTAAGCCGCAGGAAGCAGCTGCCAGTGATGCCCTCAGGTGAAGATGTTGCGAGGGGAAGGCCAAACCCCTCCCCTCAGCCGTAAAGTGCTCACCACCCCTCTGGCAGCTGCCAAACCTCCTTCCCGCTGGGTGTGTGAGCGCTTCTGGCAAGGAGGAAAAGAAGCACGGTGGGAGGAGGCATGGTGGCTGCCAGAGGGATGGAGAGTGATTTGTGGCTCCTGAAGGGAAGGGCATGGGAGATCACGCCCTCACGTCACAGGCCAAGGAACACCCAGGAAGGGCTCGGATGCTGTGATCTCCCGTGTGCTATCCTCCTTCCCTGTGCACCATCCATCCGCCGCCAGTATCAGCCCTGTTGCAGACACTGGTGCACTACGGACCACCAAAATTTTCTCACAGACCACCATTTTGCAACATCTGCTCTAAGCCTCAACTGTTTAGTCTCACCCTGTACATTGAGGGAACCCTGATCATCCCCATCTGATTGAGTGTATTGGTTCTATCTGGAAGAGGCAGTCTGAAGATATTTTCAAGTGAGGCCATGTAAGGCTTTAAAAGTTAAAATCATCCCCCTTCTAGTTTATCAGATGTAAATCAACAACTCCCATAACATTGCTATTATATGCTTGTAGTGGCTATTGCTTGTCAGCATGTGAACAGTTACATTCTGCACAAATTGCTGTTTCTCAGCAGTTTTCAAAGGCAGCCCCATATCAAATTTATTGCAGTAGTCCATTCTGATACAGTACTGGCAAGAAAATTGAAATCAGGTGGGTTAAGTACTTAACTCTATATAGGAATGCAGGCTTCCTTTCTCCAACTTTCTGAAAATATGAATGCATTCTAAGATATTTTAAATGCATTTGCAAGATGCAGATATCTGGTCTGATAGTGGTAACAGAACAGAATAACAAAGTTGAAAGGAACCTTGGGGGTCTTCTAGCCCAACCTCCTGCTCAAGCAGGAGACTATCAGTGGTTCCCAAAGTGGACGGTACCGCCCCCTGGGGGGGGATGTCTTAGGGGGACACTAAGAGGCAAGGCAACTGGCAGGGGGGTGCTAAGAGGCGGCGGGGGGGCGTTCGAGGCGCTGGCCCTGCAGGTTCACCCATTGACTAGCACTGCTCCAGAGCCGGCACCTCCAATGCGGAAGTGATGGCACGTTACGTGCCGCCACGGCCATGTTCGATGTGCCGCCCTCCGCTGGCTCCCTTGGGGACACTAAGAGGTGGCAGGGAGGCGTTCGAGGCACCGGCCTTGCAGGTTCACTCATTGACTGTAGCACCGCTCCGCAGCCAGCGCCTCGAATGAGGAAGCGGTGGCACATTATGTGCCACTGTGGCAGCGTTCAATGCACCGTCCCCCTGCCATCTCTTAGTGTCCCCAGGGGGGCTGGCAGAGGGGCGCTAAGAGGCGGCAGGGTGGCGTTCGAGGCGCCAGTCGGCCCTGCAGGTTCAGCCATTGAGGTGCCAGCTCCAGAGCGGTGCTACAGTCAATGGGTGAATCTGCAGGGCCAGTGCCTCGAATGCCCCCCTGCTACCTTTTAGCATCTCCAAGGGGGCCAGCAGAAGGGCGTTAAGAGGCAG